GGCTGCTTCTTGCTCTGACTGAGGGCTGCTGGGAGCAGGGGGTGGGGCTTGTTGCATGTGCCCGCCCCCTGGGCTCTTTACTGCCGGAGCGCCGCTCCTGTGCGCTCCTGCAGGAAATGACCCCTGCTTATCGCTCAGTTACTTGTGCATCCTGACTGTTTCTAGCCATTCCTGGCAACTAACCCCCCCCCCCCGACCTATGTGTAAGGCTTGAGGAAGTCTGTTTCAATGTATCTGAAGAAGTGTGCATGTACACGAAAGCTTCTTCCCAGAATGAAACGTTGCTGGTCTAAAAAGTACCACTGGACTCACACTTTACACACATTTCCTTCTCGCTTGTACCCTAAATGAAACCTTGTTGGTCTTGAAGATGCCACAATGCCCGCCTGCGATCTCTGATGTTTTCGCTCAGGCGGATGTCGTCGCCCGCCCCCTGGACTAACGGCCTGCCGGCCCCTCTCTCTCTCTCTCTCTCTCTCCCGCAGTGCAGCTGTCTCTGCCCCAGACGATGCGCTTGCACGGCCTGCCCAGGGTCTACTCGGCTGTCCAGCTCCACTTCCACTGGGGTAGCCAGAGGCACACGGGGGGGTCGGAGCACCAGGTGGACGGCCGGGCCTTCCCCGCGGAGGTAAGTGGGACGGGTGCCGGATGGCCTTGGGCAAGCCGTAGTTCTGACAAGAGCTGTCCTTGAAAAAGAGCAGTTTCTGTCAGAGCTCTCTCAGCCCCACCGACCTCACAGGGTGTCTGTTGTGGGGAGGGAAAGGGGAAGGAGTTTGTGAGCCGCTCTGAGACTCCTTTGGGTAGTGAAGGGCGGGGGATAAATCCAATCTCTTCTTCTTCTTCTCTTCTTCTTTTCTTCTCCTCCTCCTCCTTCTTCTCCTTCTTAGCCCCACCTACCTCACAGGTGTCTGTTGTGTGGAGGGGAAGGGAAAGGAGTTTGTAAGCCGCTCTGAGACACCTTTGGGTAGTGAAGGGCGGGGGATAAATCCAATCTCTTCTTCTTCTTCTTCTCTTCTTCTTTTCTTCTCCTCCTCCTCCTTCTTCTCCTTCTTAGCCCCACCTACCTCACAGGTGTCTGTTGTGTGGAGGGGAAGGGAAAGGAGTTTGTAAGCCGCTCTGAGACACCTTTGGGTAGTGAAGGGCGGGGGATAAATCCAATCTCTTCTTCTTCTTCTAGCCCCACCCACCTCACAGGGTGTCTGTTGTGGGGAGGGGAAGGGAAAGGAGTTTGTAAGCCGCTCTGAGACACCTTTGGGTAGTGAAGGGCGGGGGATAAATCCAATCTCTTCTTCTTCTTCTTCTCTTCTTCTTTTCTTCTCCTCCTCCTCCTTCTTCTCCTTCTTAGTCCCACCCACCTCACAGGGTGTCTGTTGTGGGGAGGGGAAGGGAAAGGAGTTTGTAAGCCGCTCTGAGACACCTTTGGGTAGTGAAGGGCGGGGGATAAATCCAATCTCTTCTTCTTCTTCTTCTCTTCTTCTTTTCTTCTCCTCCTCCTCCTTCTTCTCCTTCTTAGCCCCACCTACCTCACAGGTGTCTGTTGTGTGGAGGGGAAGGGAAAGGAGTTTGTAAGCCGCACATTTTTGTCTTGGCTCAGGAAGGAGGGCTCCAGAGCAGTGTTCCCTCTAAACTGAGTTAGTGTGAGCCAGCTCACAGCTCTCTAGCCTCCAGCTCACACATTTTTGTCTTCGCTCAGGAAGGAGGGCTCCAGAGCAGTGTCCCCTCTAAGCTGAGTCAGTGTGAGCCAGCTCACATCTCTCTAGCCTCCCGCTCACACATTTTTGTCTTAGCTCAGGAAGGAGGGCTCCAGAGTAGTGTCCCCTCTAAGCTGAGTCAGTGTGAGCCAGCTCACAGCTCTCTAGCCTCCCGCTCCCACATTTTTGTCTTAGCTCAGGAAGGAGGGCTCCAGAGCAGTGTCCCCTCTAAGCTGAGTCAGTGTGAGCCAGCTCACAGTTCTTTAGCCTCCGGCTCACACATTTTTGTCTCCACTCAGGAAGGAGGGTTCCAGAGCAGTGTTCCCTCTAAGCTGAGCTAGTGTGAGCCAGCTCACAGTTCTTTAGCCTCCAGCTCACACATTTTTGTCTTCGCTCAGGAAGGAGGGCTCCAGAGCAGTGTTCCCTCTAAGCTGAGTTAGTGTGAGCTAGCTCACAGCTCTTTAGCCTCCGGCTCACACATTTTTGTCTTCGCTCAGGAAGGAGGGCTCCAGAGCAGTGTTCCCTCTAAGCTGAGCTAGTGTGAGCCAGCTCACAGTTCTTTAGCCTCCGGCTCACACATTTTTGTCTTCGCTCAGGGGCAGTGATGCTCTGTATTCTTGGTGCTTGGGGGGCAAGAGTGGGAGGGCTTCTGGAGTTCTGACCCTGCTGGTGGACCTCCTGATAGCCCCTGGGTTTTGGCCACAATGTGACACACAGAGTGTTGGACTGGATGAGCCATTGGCCTGACCCAACATTGGCTTCTCTTATGTTCTTACCACAAATAAAATACTCTGGTTTATTATTTCCTAATCTGCACACAGGAGGTCTTTTGAAACCTTCTCTCTCTCTCTTTTGCAGGTTCACATTGTCCATTTCAACTCGGAGAAGTACGCCAACCTGAGTGAGGCTAAAAACCAGGCCGATGGGCTGGCCGTGCTGGGGATCTTTCTGGAGGTGAGCTCTCCCCCCAGACACAAAACCAGAACACTCATTTACAAGACTCTGGAACTTCTACAGGTTCCCTCTTTTCCCCCTCATGCCTCGGCCATTTTAGAGTCGCCTCGTATGAAACACAAACGGTCATATCCAAGAACATAATATCAGAAGATCCCAGTGGTCCATCTGGTCCAGCCTCCCGTCTCACACAGCGGCCAACCAGTTCCTCTTGAGGGCCAAGAACAGGGCAGAGAGACCGAGGCCTTCCCCTGAGAAGAACTTCAGAAGAGCCCTGCTGGATCAGACCAGGGAGGGTCCATCTAGTCCAGCCTCCCGTCTCACACAGCGGCCAACCAGTTCCTCTTGAGGGCCAAGAACAGGGCAGAGAGACCGAGGCCTTCCCCTGAGAAGAACTTCAGAAGAGCCCTGCTGGATCAGACCAGGGAGGGTCCATCTAGTCCAGCCTCCCGTCTCACACAGCGGCCAACCAGTTCCTCTTGAGGGCCAAGAACAGGGCAGAGAGACCGAGGCCTTCCCCTGAGAAGAACTTCAGAAGAGCCCTGCTGGATCAGACCAGGGAGGGTCCATCTAGTCCAGCCTCCCGTCTCACACAGCGGCCAACCAGTTCCTCTTGAGGGCCAAGAACAGGGCAGAGAGACCGAGGCCTTCCCCTGAGAAGAACTTCAGAAGAGCCCTGCTGGATCAGACCAGGGAGGGTCCATCTAGTCCAGCCTCCCGTCTCACACAGCGGCCAACCAGTTCCTCTTGAGGGCCAAGAACAGGGCAGAGAGACCGAGGCCTTCCCCTGAGAAGAACTTCAGAAGAGCCCTGCTGGATCAGACCAGGGAGGGTCCATCTAGTCCAGCCTCCCGTCTCACACAGCGGCCAACCAGTTCCTCTTGAGGGCCAAGAACAGGGCAGAGAGACCGAGGCCTTCCCCTGAGAAGAACTTCAGAAGAGCCCTGCTGGATCAGACCAGGGAGGGTCCATCTAGTCCAGCCTCCCGTCTCACACAGCGGCCAACCAGTTCCTCTTGAGGGCCAAGAACAGGGCAGAGAGACCGAGGCCTTCCCCTGAGAAGAACTTCAGAAGAGCCCTGCTGGATCAGACCAGGGAGGGTCCATCTAGTCCAGCCTCCCGTCTCACACAGCGGCCAACCAGTTCCTCTTGAGGGCCAAGAACAGGGCAGAGAGACCGAGGCCTTCCCCTGAGAAGAACTTCAGAAGAGCCCTGCTGGATCAGACCAGGGAGGGTCCATCTAGTCCAGCCTCCCGTCTCACACAGCGGCCAACCAGTTCCTCTTGAGGGCCAAGAACAGGGCAGAGAGACCGAGGCCTTCCCCTGAGAAGAACTTCAGAAGAGCCCTGCTGGATCAGACCAGGGAGGGTCCATCTAGTCCAGCCTCCCGTCTCACACGGTGGCCAACCAGTTCCTCTAGAGGGCCAACAACAGGGCAGCGAGGCTCTATTCTTCCCCTGATGAATTCCTCTGGGATTCTGAGATTGACTGCCTTTGAAAGTGGAGCTTCCCTTTAGTCACCATGGCTAGTAGCCATCAACAGACTTCTCTTCCATGAATCTGTCTAATCCCCTTTTAAAGCTGTCTATTCCTGTGGCCCCATTCTCTCTGCCCCATGTCAAAATGTGGATGGAAGCACCTCAGGGCAGAGACCTACCAGGTTAGTCTGAGGCTCTGCTGCCCAGTCAAGCAGCAGGTACATGGGTAGTGCTGCAGAAATTGCACAATAAACATGAGTATAAAATGGCCCACCTTGTTGCTTCATCTGTCCGGCAGGTTGGCGACTCCGAGAACCCCGCCTACAGCCACATCCTTGACCACTTGAAAGACATCAGGCATGCAGGTGAGACCATGAAGGGCAAGCTGGCCAGTTGCACACTTAAGAGAAGCCAGTGTTGGATCAGGCCAGTGGCCCATCCAGTCAAACACTCTGTGTCACACAGTGGCCAGAAATACCAGGTGCCATCAGGAGGTCCAGCAGTGGGGCCAGGACACTAGAAGCCCCTCCCACTGTTGCCCCACCCCCAAGCACCGAGAATACAGAGCATCACTTGCCCCAGCCTGAGAGTTCCTCTCTATACCTTGTGGCCAAGAGCCACTGATGGACCCCTGCTCTTAACTTAAGCACACAACAGGAGCCAATGTTGGATCAGGCCCATGGCCCATCCAGTCCAACACTCTGTGTCACACAGTGGCTAAAAATACCAGGTGCCCTCAGGAGGTCCAGCAGTGGGGCCAGAGAACACTAGGAGCCCTCCCATTGTTGCCCCCCCCAGGCACCAAGAATACAGAGCATCACTGCCCCAGACATAAGAACATCAGAGAAGCCAATGTTGGATCAGGCCAATGGGCCACCCAGTCCTACACTCTGTATCACACAGTGTCCAAAACCCAGGGGCCATCAGCAGGTCCACCAGCAGGGCCAGAACTCCAGAAGCCCTCCCACTGTAGCCCCCCCCCCCCAAGCACCAAGAATACAGAGCTTCACTGACCTGGACATAAGAACATGAGAGAAGCCATGTTGGATCAGGCCAATGGCTCATCCACTCTGTGTCACACAGTGGCCAAAACCCAGGGGCCATCAGGAGGTCCACCGGTGGGGCGAAAAGGGGCTTGTTGTTGTTGTTGTTGTTCAGTCGCACAGTCAAGTCCGACTCTTCGCGACCCCATGGACCAGGTCACGCCAGGTCCTCCTGTCTTCTGCCGTCCTCTGAAAAGGGGCTTAGAAAGGGGCAAAGAGTAGCAGTCCCCTCTGAGCAAAAAGGACAGTGTATTGGTAATACTTCCTAGAGGCTGTGCAGGCAGGAGCATTGGGGGTGCGGTGTGGCGGCCCTTATGTGCTTGGGTTGCCAACCTCCAGGTGGGGCCTGGAAGTCTCCCAGAATTGCAACTCCAGGTGACCGAGACCCATCCCCCTGGACAAAAAGGCTGCCTTGGAGTGCCTTGGAGTGCCTTGGAGTGTGGCCTCTATGACGCTACACCCCGCTGAGGTCTCTCCTCTAACCCCGCCCTCCTCTCCCCAAACCCCGCCCTCCTCAGGCTCCACCCCGAAAATCTCCAGGTATTTCCTAACCCAAAGCTGGCAACCCTGACCGGCAAGTGGCAATTGTTGTTCCGAAGGAAATGCACCTCCTGGGGCCTTGAGGTGGAAGATGCAAAACCCTCCCTGGGCCCAAACCTCCCTAGAGCCAGTTTGGTGCAGTGGTGAAGTGCGCGGACTCTAGTCTGGGAGAACCGGGTTTGATTCCCGACTTCTCCACTTGCAGCTGCTGGATGACCTTGGGTCAGTCACAAGTTCTCTCAGAGCTGCTCTCTCAAGGGCAGTCCCCGAGAGAGCCCTCTCAGCCCCACCTACCCCACAGGCAACGCTCCCTCTAAGCTGTGGAGTCTTGTGAGGAAACATTCTGCTTTGTGAGCTATTGGCATTGAAGTTGTGAGCGAGCGATTTGGCTGCTGCGTAAATCAGTTTGCTCTGGAGCCATCCCTTCCTGAGCGAAGGCAAAAATGTGTCAGCCAGAGGCTAAAAAAACTGTGAGCTAGCTCACACGAACTCAGGTTAGAGGGAACATTGCTCACAGGGTGTCTGTTGTGGGAAGGGAAAGGAGTTTGTAAGCCGCTCTGAGACTCCAAGTGAATGGCAGGGTATAAATCCAATTTCCTCTTCTTCTAGAGGGACTGGAATGGGTAAAACCAATGTTCCCTCTAAGCTGTGGAGTCTTGTGAGCAGAAATTCTACCTTGTGAGCTACTGTCATTAAAAGTTGTGAGCGAGCGATTTGGCTACTGCATATATTAGTTTGCTCTGGAGCCATCCTCCCTGAGCTAAGACAAAAGTCTGTGAGCTGGAGGCTAAAAAACTGAGCTGGCTCACACTAACTCAGCTTAGAGGGAACACTGAATGGGACCAAAGGTGAACCACAAGGAAGACATGGCCTTCGTCTTTGGGCGTTTCATTCTCTCCCTCTCTCTCTCCCACTCCCTCATCCAGAGCAGGAAATCTCTCTCTCGCCTTTCAACATCCGCGACCTCCTTCCGGCGCACCTGGGCCACTACTTCCGCTACAACGGCTCCTTGACCACCCCGCCCTGCTACCAGAGCGTGCTGTGGACCGTCTTCCACCTGCCTGCCCACATCTCCGCTGCCCAGGTATGTCTCCCTTCCACCCTTGACTTCACTTTGGCTTGCAGCCTCCTGCATCTTCCAGCTCAGTCCCAGATGAATTTTGGGAATGACAGGAGTACTCCGTCCATGAATGTCAGCTGCACAATGTGTCTTTTGTAGGACCGGCAAAAAGCATCCATACAACTATTAAGAAGGCTGTCCCCCTTTTTGGAAGACTTCATGCAAGGAGAAGTGGGCTTATAATTCTAGAAACTCCTGTTGGGGCTTGACTTTTAAAACACTGATGCGAAATTGTCTGGTAGTTAGCAATCTGTATGTACTGAATGTTATTGCTTATTGAATGTAATGAATATTTATACCTGACTAGGATGAAATAATGATACACTCTGCACTTTATTAAATGATGACCATAAATAGAACACATTGGTTTGTTAAAAGGTTTTTGCAGGGTATATTTATTTGTTACCAGACTCTCCTAACACTGCAGCTCGGGTTGCTTCAGCCTCCAGGTGGGACCTGGGGATCTTCTGGAGTTACAGCTCATCTCCAGACGACAGAGATCAGTTCCCCCGAAGGAACTGGATGCTTTGGAGGGTGGTTTGTTGCTGTTGTCTAGTCGTACAGTTGAGTCCGACTCTTCGCGACCCCATGGACCACATCACGCCAGGCCCTCCTGTCCTCCGTTGTCCTCGGGAGTTTGCTTAATTTCTCATCCTTTGCCGTCCCCGTCTTCTTTGACCTTCAGTCTTTCCCAGCATCAGGGTCTTCTCCAGTGAGGGCTCCCTTCTCATTTGTTGGCCAAAGGATTTGAGCTTCAGCTTCAGTATCTGGCCTTACAGGGAACAGTCAGGGTTGATTTCCTTTAGGATTGACTGATTTGATCTCCTTGCAGTCTAGGGGACTCTCAAGAGTCTTCTCCAGCACCATAATTCAAAGGAATCTATTCTTCGGCACTCAGCCTTCCTTATAGTCCAACTCTCCCCCACAGGAGCCACCCAGTTCCTCTGGAGGGCCAACAACAGGGCAGAGACGCTGAGGCCTTCCCCTGAGAAGAACCTCAGAAGAGCCCTGCTGGGTCAGACCAGTGAGGGTCCATCTAGAGGGGCCCTCTAGTACAGCCTCCCGTCTCTCACAGTGGCCAACCAGTTCCTCTGGAGGGCCAGCAACAGGGCAGAGAGGCCGAGGCCTTCCCCTGAGGAGAACACCAGAAGAGCCCTGCTGGGTCAGACCAGGGAGGGTCCATCAAGTCCAGCCTCCCGTCTCACACAGGGGCCAACCAGTTCCTCTGTAGGTCCAGCAACAGGGCAGAGAGGCCGAGGCCTTCCCCTGAGAAGGACACCAGAAGAGCCCTGCTGGGTCAGACCAGGGAGGGTCCATCCAGTCCAGCCTCCCGTCTCCCACAGGGGCCATTCCAGTTCCTCTGGAGGGCCAACAACAGGGCAGAGAGGCCGAGGCCTTCCCCTGAGAAGGACACCAGAAGAGCCCTGCTGGGTCAGACCAGGGAGGGTCCCTCTAGTCCAGCCTCCTGTCTCACACAGGGGCCAGCCAGTTCCTCTGGAGGGCCAACAAACAGGGCAGAGAGGCCGAGGCCTTCCCCTGAGAAGAACCTCAGAAGAGCCCTGCTGGATCAGACCAGGGAGGGTCCATCTAGTCCAGCATCCTGTCTCCCACAGTGGCCACCCAGTTCCTCTGGAGGGCCAACAAACAGGGTAGAGAGGCCGAGGCCTTCCCCTGATGTTGCCTCCTGGCTCTGGGATTCAGAGGTTGACTGCCTCTGAATGTAGGGGCTCCCCTCAGTCACCACGGCTAGTAGCCACTGATAGACTTATCCTCCATGAATCTATCTCATCCCCCTTTAAAGCTGTTTGTTCCTGTGGCCTTCCCTGCATCCTCTGGCAGCCACATTTTAATCACTCTCTGCGTAAAGTAGTATTTCCTTTTGCCTGTCCTGAACCTACTGCCCATCAGCTTCATTGGATGTCCTTGAGTTGTAGGATTTGGGGAGAGGGAGAAGACGTTCTCTTTGTCAACTCTCTCCACCCCGTGCATAAATGTATAAACCATTCTTGTGTGTTGTCCCCCCCCCCCTTAGTTGTCTCTGTTCTCAACTGATAATTCCCAGACTCTTCGGCCTTTCCTCGTAGGGAAGGGGCTCCAACCCTTGGATCATCTTGGTTGCAAGGGTCTGAGATCTCTGGGCCCAGGTCCCCGAAAGGGGGCAAGAATGAAGTAGGGCCGGCCAGACTCCGCTTACCTTGTCACCCCACAAGTTGGCCGGTGCTGCTGCGGTTCTACGGAGGACGGCCCAAACCTGTTGCCTCAGAGGACTGAGGGGCTCCCTTTCTCTTCCAGCTGGCGAAACTGCAGAAATCTCTACACTCCACCAAAGAGGAGGAAACCCTGCAGTTGTCTCTCGTGGATAACTTCCGGAGGCCACAAGACTTGAACCACCGCCCGGTCCTCTCTTCCTTCCCGGCAGGTCAGTGCAGTGAGGGAGACGTGTGAAGCGGGGGTAGGGGTAGGGTGCAGGTTGTGTGTCATGAGGCTAAGTAGGTTTACTTAGGAGTAGGGGTGCCAAGCAGTGTTCCCTCTAAGCTGAGTTAGTGTGAGCCAGCTCACAGTTTTTTAGCCTCCGGCTCACACATTTTCTGTCTCAGCTCAAGACGGAGGGCTCCAGAGCAAACTAATTTCTGCAGTAGCCAAATGTAGCTCGCTCTCAACTTTAAAGAATTATATGTTGTCCTCCCTTACCCCTATCATTGTTAGTCCCTTGTGAAAACCTGTGTAACTGTAAATCGCTCAGAGCCAGCAGCCCTGCAGGATTGAGCGATCAATAAATCGAAAGGTATTATTATTATTATTTAATTTTTTAGCTGCCTTGGTGGCCTTTATAAGTGCAGAAGGGCAGTGTGTAAACATTGCAAATAAATGAGCAACTACAGTAAATTTGGCTTTCTCTAAGGACAGGTGAAGCTAGTAAGCAAGCATGGTGGTAAAAGGCATTCTAGGCAGGCCTACCTTCTACAGGTGGACCAAAGAATATAATAATAATAATGCCAGTAGCTCACAAAGTAGAATTTTTGCTCACAAGACTCCACAGCTTAGAGGGAACATTGGCTGCCAAGTGACGTACAGAAAATAATCCTGTCCGAGTGTATGTGTTTCCCCAGCCCAATTTGAGAAAACACTCAGTACAGTCCTGTAAAGTGGAATCTGATCTTGTAATTTATTGATCAAAAAAGGAGGGAGGGGCAGATCCAATAAGGTTTTGGACCCCACAGCTCTCCCTCAGGTTACAACAGGAGACATAAAGTTTTATACCCCCTATGACAGTTAGAAATAAATAATAATTATTGGTTCCATCAAACTTTGTCATATATCCATCAAACCATTCTGATTGGTCCCTGGCCCGTAGGTTGGACTTTTCTCAGGCAAAAATATACCTCCTTCAGTTGAACAATGGGCCTTCTTCTTCCCAGGCTATAAAGTGATGAAAAGTATCTAATGTAACAGATATGGGTACATCGTGTAGTATGGTTTCCATCTAACACAAGCTAACTGACATCAGGGACATGCGCAGTTACAGCTGGCCGTAACAAGCGAGGTCACAAGCAGTCAGTTACTGCCTGTCAGCATTTAGTATTTTCCCCAGAATGCATTTAAGCAATGAGCCAAAGTGAATATCTGAATATATGTTCATAATTGATTTCTGCTTCTGTAATTAGAATAATCAATGGCACTTAATGTATCTGTATGTCTGTGTATGTCAGAGGTGCTAACTGGGTCCACTAAGGTTAGCCTACTAAGTCAGACAGAGTGCTGAGTGCATGGCAGTGAGGAATTTCACATTACCCTTTTTAACCCGTTTTGAAGCCGTTTTTGATCTGTCGTGGAGTAAACCGGTATAGGGCTGTCATTTCACACATGGCTTTCCCCATCCGGTAAAGAGCTGGATCTGAAGCGATTTTCCATTTCAAACTGCACCATGTTTTCCCCACCGTTTTTCGCCCATGCGGGCGATCTCTGGCTTTTTTTTTTTATAATTGCTTTACAGTGCTAGAGTGCTATAACACAACACTCCAGGCATTCCAATGGAGTTGATATAATGCTTTTGCGTTATAGTGTTATACCGTTATAGCGCCACACTCCAGGCATCCCAATGGAGTTAATATAATGCTTTTGCGTTATAGTGTTATACTGCTATAGCGCTATAAAGCGAACGTTCCAAAAAAACCAAACGCTGGAGATTGCCCGCGTGGGCGAAAAACAGCGGGGAAAAGTTCATCAGAACTGGGAGAGGAAACTGAAGACTACTTGGAAGCGGTTGACAGCTAAAACGCTTCAGCCCTGTTTCCTAAACGGGACAGAAGCGTTTGTGTGTGAAATTACAACTATATTCCGGTGGGGAACCGGTTCTAAAACGGTTTTGTCTGAAATGACAGAGCAGAAACCGTTTGGGAACCGTTCCTCTTCCGGATGATATCATCTGTCTGAAATTCCTCTGTGTTTCATAAACTGTGCCTATAACACAACCCGGGGATCCCCCTCAAGAATTACGGCTCCTCTCCATGGAGACAGGTCAAGATGAGTCACTGTGTTAGTCTGTCTGTAGCTGGAGGGAAGAGCCGGGGTCCAGCGGCACCTTCAAGACTAACAAAATTTGTGGCAGGGGAGGAGCTTTCGGAAGAAGTGACCGCAGTGACTCACGGAAGCGCGTCCCCTGCCACAAATTTTGTTAGTCTTGAAGGTGCCGCTGGACCCCGGCTCTTCCCTCCAGCTACAGACAGACTAACACAGTGACTCATCTTGACCTGTCTCCATGGAGAGGAGCCGTAATTCTTGAGGGGGATCCCCGGGTTGTGTTATAGGCACAGTTTATGAAACACAGAGGAATTTCAGACAGATGATATCATCCGGAAGAGGAACGGTTCCCAAACGGTTTCTGCTCTGTCATTTCAGACAAAACCGTTTTAGAACCGGTTCCCCACCGGAATATAGTTGTAATTTCACACACAAACGCTTCTGTCCCGTTTAGGAAACAGGGCTGAAGCGTTTTAGCTGTCAACCGCTTCCAAGTAGTCTTCAGTTTCCTCTCCCAGTTCTGATGAACTTTTCCCCGCTGTTTTTCGCCCACGCGGGCAATCTCCAGCGTTTGGTTTTTTTGGAACGTTCGCTTTATAGCGCTATAGCAGTATAACACTATAACGCAAAAGCATTATATTAACTCCATTGGGATGCCTGGAGTGTGGCGCTATAACGGTATAACACTATAACGCAAAAGCATTATATCAACTCCATTGGAATGCCTGGAGTGTTGTGTTATAGCACTCTAGCACTGTAAAGCAATTATAAAAAAAAAAAGCCCAGGAGTTTCCCAAACTGGAGCTGGCAACCCTACCTCCCCCCCCATCCCCTGCTGGCGGCCAGGGGGACCTGTTAGGAATGTCAGCTCCGAGTGGGGAAATGTCTGGAGATTTTGGAATCACAGAATCATAGAGTTGGAAGGGATCTCCAGCGTCATCTACTCCAACCCCCAGCACAAGGCAGGGAATTCACAAAGACACCCGCCCCCCATGCATCCCCACTGACTGCTGTTCCACGGCCAGAAGGTGGCAAAAAAACCTCCAGGATCTTCAGCCAGGCGTGGAAGAAGGGGCCCCGAGAGGTGGCGGCGGCTACAAGCATGGACGGCTTCAAGAGGGAATTGGAAAAGCATATGGAGCAGAGGTCTATCAGCGGCTGTTAGCCAGAAGGAATAGATAGGGACTCTCAGTTTGGGGCAGGTGATGCTCTGTCTTCTTGGTGCTTGGGGGGGGGGGGGGGGAAACGGGGGGGGGGTTTCTGGTGTGCTGGACCTCCTGAAGGCACCTGGTATTTCTGGCCACTGTGTGACCCAGAGTGTTGGACTGGATGGCCCGTTGCCCTGATCCGACATTGGCTTCTCTTACGTTCTCTTATGTTCTTATGAGAACTAAGCCCTGAGGCAACCCTCCCTGCCCTCCCTCTCATGATCTGCCTTAGTTCACAGGATCCGCATGGCTGTCCAATGGCCCCGTTGACACGGAGCATTTGCCGTGCTAAAGATACGGATGATAGGCGGATTTTCCGGGCGCGATCACACCATAACATCTGGGAAATGTTGTGCACCCGTGGCTAACCCGTGGCTTCGTGCCGAACATACGGAGTAAAAAACGAGTACTTGCGATGTACTAGTTTCCAGAAAACGCGGGGCAAGGGCGGGCGTCTGATCGCGTCCCGTCCCATCCTAGTCCCGTCGCAAACCGGTTAGGTTTTTTAAAAAGTCTTCACAGGATGCGCACAAACGATCATGCGCATGCTCACCTTTTGGTGAGGAAAAAAATTTCCCCATTTGCCACGGAAGCGGCGCCTGGCGATTGCTGGTGTGCTCGCGCCGCGCCGCTTCTTTGCTGCGCTGCAGGATAGCCGTGTGATCGGCACCTCACGTCCTAACCACAGGACCTCGACGGGACGTGTGATTGGACGGCCGCGCGTTATTTTGCTCCGGGCCAAACAGCCACGCTCCTCCCCCCCCGCATTTTCCGGCCCGTGTGACCGGGGCCGATGGCCATCTAGCTTCTGCTTGAAAACCTCCAAAGAATGAGAGGCCACCTCCTCCTCCCGAGGAAGCCTCTTCCACTCAGGAACCCACTCCAACTGCCAGGAAGTTCTTCCTAATGCGTAGCTGAAAACTCCTTTCATTTAATTTCAGCCCACTGGTTCCGGTCCTGGTCCGACCTTCTGGGGCAACAGAAAGGAGGGTGGGGTTTGGGGAGGTGGAGGGACTTTAATGGGGTAGACTGCTGTAGAGTCCACCTTCCAAAGCAGCCATTTGCTCTAGGCGAACTGATCTCTGTCGCTCGGAGACCAGTTGTAATCAATGTTCCCTCTAAGCTATGGAGTCCTGTGAGCAAAAATTCTACTTTGTGAGCTACTGGCATTAAAGCTGTGAGCAGGTGATTTGGCTACAGCATCAATTAGTTTCCTCTGGAGCCCTCCTTCCTGAGCTGAGACAAAAAGGTGTGAGCCGGAGGCTAAAAAACTGTGAGCTAGCTCACACTTAACTCAGCTTAGAGGGAACACTGGTTGTAATCCCAGGAGATCTCCAAACACCACCTGGAGGAGATCTTCAACTATGCCAGGATCTGGCAACCAAGGCTCCCTCTAAGCTGTGTAGTCTTGTGAGCACAAATTCTACTTTGCGAACCACTGGCATTAAAGCTGTGAGCGAGCGAATTGGCTGCTGCATACATAAGTCTGCTCCGGAGCCCTCCTGCCTGAGCCGAGACAAAAATGAGTGAGCCGGAGGCTAAGAAACTGTGAGCTAGCTCACGCTAACTCCACTTAGAGGGAACACTGCCCAGGAGCAATCTGCTTTGAGGCCAGTGGATATGGTGCGAGAGCAACTGCATTCCTCCCCACTGCAGTCATTCCTTGGAGCTCGATTCGAATCCAGTAGCCCCTTATGGACCAACGAGATTTGGGGTATGAGCTTCCCTCGTCAGAGAACAAGTCGCAACGGAGGCAGAAGACGGAAGCTGCGGCTTTGGCCTCCGTTTTACCAGAACCCTCTAGCAGCTTCCTTTCACCCCCCTCCTGTGGAATCTGAGTTTGGGGTTGCCGCCTCGGCCAGTTGAGGTTGGAAGCTGTTGGGCAACAGCGGGCTGCAGCCCTGGACAATTCAGTGGGACTTCAGTGAAGTCAGTGGCCAGTTTGGTGTCGTGGTTAAGTGCGCAGACTCTAATCTGGGAGAACCGGGTTTGATTCCCCACTTCTCCACTTGCACGTAGCTGGATGACCTTGGGCAAGCCGTAGTTCTGATAAGAGCTGTTCTTGGAAAAGAGCTCTCTCAGCCCCACCCACCTCACAGGGTGTCTGCTGCAGGGATGGGGAAGGGAAAGGAGTTTGTAAGTCGCTCTGAGACACCTTTCGGTAGTGAAGGGCGGGGTAGAAATCCAATCTCCTCCTCCTCCTCCTCCTTCTCCTCCTCCTCCTCCTCCTCCTCCTCTTCTTCTTCTTCTTCTTCTTCTTCTTCTTCTTCTTCTTCTTCTTCTTCTTCTTCTTCTTTCTTCTTCTTCTTTCTTCTTCTTTCTTCGTCTTTCTTCCTCTTCCCTTTCCCAGCTGCGTAATCTGCTGCCTGCAGGAAAGGGCCGCTAGCAGTGTTCCCTCTAAGATGAGTGAGTGTGAGCTAGCTCCATGGCCGGATTAACCATTAAGCAGACTAAGCACGTGCTTAGGGCACCAAGGCCAAAGGGGGCACCACAAAGTTGGGACACGAATGAAGATTTGTAAAAAAAAATGTTTTGATAAAATTGATAGAAATTTTCGTGCAAATTGATCATGGTGCACCCTAGGGTTATCTTCTATTTCTTGTTGGCGAGGTGTAGTGTCATAGGCTTCGTTTGTGTACAGTATATGGTGTTATCATAGGAATAAATTTTTGTATCGCTGCAACCTGCATTGTCTATCTGGTCAGACAAGTCAACAACTAAAATGGACTGGGTGGTCAGTGTAGAAAGGAGGGGGGGGCACCAAGATGGGTCGGTGCTGAGGGCACCCGTGAGCCGTAATCTGCCCCTGGCTAGCTCACAGATTTTTAGCCTGCGGCCCACACATTTTTGTCTTTGCTCAGGAAGGGATGGCTCCAGAGCAAACCAATTTACACAGTCGCCGAATCGCTCGCTCACAACTTTAATGTCAGTAGCTCACAAAGCAGAATTTTTGCTCACGAGACTCCACGGTTTAGAGGGAGCACCGGTCGCTAGTTATCCTGCATCCTGGAAAACTTCCGATCTGAATCCCTGCATCTCTGGCTGCGGGGAAAGGCTGCGCTGGCAAGCTGGGGAGCCGATTGAGTTTCTCAGAAAGGACTGCGGTGAACCGACATGGGGACACTGTCCTCTGGTGGAGGACGGCGGTCGGTCCCACTTAGTCGCAGTGAATGGACCGCTGGATGGGCCGTGGAGGCAGCTGGGAGCCGGTCTGGGTCTCCCCTAGCAGGAGAAGAGCCATCGGTGCCCACAATGACTTACGGTTTCCCCACGCGCTGGCAAAGAGAAGACCGCAGCCACTGCCCCACAACTTTGCAGCCCATCGCGTGGCCGGCTCAGGATGGTCTCAGGGTTCTTTGTCGTCCTGTCCTCTGGTCCCCGGGGGTTGGGCTCAGACCCGGCCGGTGGCGGGGCAGGTCCCAGGGGTGAGGACTTGCGGGGCTTGAGGCAGCTCGCCCAGGTCTGTGCCTGGGCACGTTTCTGAAATGACACAGAAGATTCCACGGGGAGACTTGTAATGGCTGCAGTTCCTGTCCAGCTTGCAGGACATTTTCCCGCTTAAAAGTCCAGAACTCTGGAATGCTCTTCTAGAGCACGTAAGAGCATAAGAGAAGCCAATGCTGAATCAGGCCAATGGCCCATCCAGCCCAACACTCTGTGTCACACAGGGGCCAGAAATACCAGGGGCCATCAGGGGGTCCAGCAGTGCGGCCAGGAGACCAGAAGCCCTCCACCCACTGTTGCCCCCCCCCCAGCACCAAGGAGACAGAGCATCACTGGCCCCAGACTGAGATGTCTGCTTGTCCCCATCAGTATTCTGCAAAACAAGCCAAGATGGTCCTGTCCGGTTGAGCTTTGGGGCATGAACACTCCCTTTCCCCTCTGCCGTACAGCCTCTGCGGCTGATGCCATAAAAAAAAAAAAAACGACAAAGGCCCTGGTCACACGGAGAATTTGCCGCACAAAAGGCACGAATGTCGGGCAGATTTTCGGGGTGCGGTCACACCACAACATCTGGGAAGCGTAGCACACCTGTGGCCAACCCGTGGCGTCCCGCCAAAGATGCGGAGTTAAAAAGTACCAAGGAAAGTGCACTAGTATCCGGAAAACGCGCAGCACAGGCGGGCGTCTGATCGCGGGAGCGGTAGTATCCCGTGGCATTTGGCGCCCGTCCACATCCCGTTGCGAACCGGATGTTTTTCGTAAGCGCATGCGCACAAGCACGAAACTGAAAGCAGTGCTGCTCCGTGGAACTGTGCATGCGCACAAACGCAAAACACTTGTGTGACTGCACCGCGCCGCTTCTTTGCCACGCTGCAGCATCGCCGTGTGATTGCCAGCTAACAGCCGAAGCACGGAGACTCAGGGGACCGTGTGATCAGGCTACCGTGCTTAATTTTGCTCCGGGGTGAAAAGCCACGCCTCCCCGCCCCCCACGTTACCTGGCCCATGTGACCGGGGCCAAAGTGTGTTAAGTTTCTTGAGCCTCCCACTTTGTGACCTAAAACTAAACGTGGTGCAGATCATAGAATCATAGCCGGCCTTGGCTGGGAGGGCTGGGTAGAAATTCAAGAGGATGGATAGATAGATGGATAGATGGATAGATAGATGGATAGATGGATAGATAGATAGATAGATAGATAGATGATAGATAGATAGATAGAGTTGGAAGGGAGATAGATAGAGTTGGAAGGGACCTCCAGGGTCATCTAGTCCAACCCCCTGCACAATGCAGGGAATTCAGAAAGACCTCCCCCCTCCACACCCGCAGTGACCGCTGTTCCACGCCCAGAAGATGGCAAAACAACTCTCCAGGATCCCTGGCCAAACTGGCCTGGAGAAAAATGGCTTCCTGGACGCAAAGTGGTGATTGGCATTTCCCCCGGGCGTGTCAGAAAGGGCCACGAGAACTAAGCACTGAGGCCACCCTTCCTGCTCTCCCTTCTTGTGAACTGCCTAATTCCACAGAATCTGCATTACTGTCAGATGGCCACCTAGCCTCTGCTTGAAAACTTCCAAAGGAGAGCCCACCACCTCCCGAGGAAGCCTGTTCCCCTGAGCGACCGCTCTGTCAGGAAGTTCTTCCTAATGTTTAGCCAAAAACTCTTCTGATTTAATTCCCACCCGTTGGTTCTGGTCCGATCTTCTGGGGCAGGAGAAGTCCCTCCAAACTCCATCAAAGAACCCCGTCTAGCCCCAGGGGCAAACCACCGGTGCTTGGGGACAGGGAGGTGGTGAGAGCTGGTTATTTGAAGAATACCTCCTCTGAATGGGTAATTCCCAGGGTTGCCAGCCTCCAGGCGGTGCCTGGAGATCTCCCGCTGTTACAACCGATCTCCACGCAACAGAGATCAGCTGACCTGGGGGGAAGCGGCCACTTTGGAAGGGGGACTGTATGGCTTCCTGCCCCACTGAGGCCCCTCCCATCCTCAGTCCCCGCCCTCCTCCGGCCCCACCCCCAAAATCTCCAGGTCTTGCCCAACCCGGAGCGGTAACCTTAGCCGTTCCCTCGCCAGAGCCTTGGAGATTGTTTTCTTTAATATGGGGGAGAGGGGAGGCATCTCTTCAAGAGCGTGTGTGTGGGGGGATAGATTTGGTGTACACCAGTTTGGTGTCGTGGTTAAGTGCGCAGACTCTAATCCGGGAGAACCGGGTTTGATTCCCCACTCCTCCTCCACTTGCACCTGGCTGGATGGCCTTGGCCAAGCCGTAGTTCTGATAAGAGCTGTCCTTGAAAAAGAGCCGTTTCTGTCAAGGGCTCTCTCAGCCCCGCCTACCTCACAGGGTGTCTGTTGTGGGGAGGGGAAGGGAGAGGAGTTTGTAAGCCGCTCTGAGACACCTTTGGGTAGTGAAGGGCGGGGGATAAATCCAATCTCTTCTTCTTCTTCTTGTTTGGTGTCGTGGTGAAGTGCGCGGAGTCTAATCTGGGAGAACCAGGTTTGAATCCCCACTCCTCCATTTGCACCTGCTGGATGACCTTGGGCAAGCCGTAGTTCTGACAAGAGCTGTTCTTGAAAAAGAGCAGTTTCTCTCAGAGCTCTCTCAGCCGCACCAACCTCACAGGGTGTCTGTTGTGGGGAGGGGAAGGGAAAGGAGATTGTCAGCTGCTCTGAGACTCCCTTGGGTAGTGAAGGGCCATAGGGTATAAATCCAATCTCTTCTTCTCTTCTTAAATTATTCCCCCTCCCCTTTCTTTTGCAGCTCCTTCCGGATATTCTGCAGGTACGGATTGATCTCTTGTTTGTTGATTGCGTTGCAGTTGGGGGGGACCCCAAGGGAGGGGGCTAAGAGGAGGGAGGGGGGAGGGAGACCCAG